CGGCGCTCGATCTGAGCCCGTATCTGGGCGACGCCCGCCCATGACTCGGCCTCGGCAGATGTGCCGGGGTCAGGCTGGCCGAGCTCCGGCTCAGGCGCCCTGGGAGCGATCAGGTGGTCCGGTCCGGTGCGCGAGCCGCGCCGCTCGTGAGGTTCAGCCCCGCCGACCGGCAGCTGGCCGGGAGGTTTTGCTGTGCGCTCCTGGAGCCGATCATGAGCTCCCGCCGACCGAGAGTCTGACAGGAGCCCCGCCCGGCGAAGGCGCTCGGAAATTGAGCAGACATGCATGAGCTGCCGCGCCACCGCATCGATCTACCGCCAGGCACAGCATTGAAACTCACGAGGACGTGAGAATTTTGGCACCGTCGAATTTTACAGAAGCTGCAGACGTCGGAAAAAAGCGAATGCGCTTAGAGCAGTCACACTGGGAAGCAGGTCACTACGTATTTCCCATAGACGAGATGCATTCCTGACGCTCATGCCTAATCTTTTTCGGTGTGTTTGCCCATTCCCTTCCGCTCTTTCGGGTTGGTACGGCAGATCCGGACGACAGCCGCTGCTGGCCTACAATCGGATCTAACTGAACCGAACCGGGCTGGACTGAACCGCAGCGGAACGGGCCGGAGAGTCCGGCAGCGCCCGACCCTGTCCGCTGGGTGGTCCCCGGCTCCCCGTTAATTGACCCGTCGGGGACCCGTGCGGCCGACCCGAGCCGCCCGCCGCGCGCCGGGCCTGTTTGTTTTACCCGGCCGGGGCGCTGGACGCGCGGCGGCGGGATTACCTCGGTGTTTATGGGCCAGCTAATAGGGCGGTCACGGCGTTCGCCGGACCGCACGCCGCCCGTGACGGCGGTGTTGAGGTGCGAGCGAGCGCCGAGGTGCCGCTGACCGGGCGCCGGCTCGCGGCGGCGCGCTGCCGGGGCGTGACTCGGGGCGCGTCCCGCCGCAGCGCCCGCTCCGGATGGTGCTGGTGGCGGTGGCCGGCTGCCGAGGTGCCGCTGACCGGGCGCCGGCCCGCGGCGGCGCGCCGCCTGGGCGTGACTCGGGGCGCGTCCCGGCACGGCGCCCTCTCCGGATGTTGCTGGTGGCGGCGGCCGGCTGCGCGGCGCGGTATCTGGCCATCGCAGCCGTCGCCGACGCATTCCGGGAATAATGAGCGGGCGGGCGACAGACGCCGACCTCGCGTGTCGATGCGGCTGATACGCCGTCGTTCTCGTGTGCGGCGGGCCGACGGCTGCGGACGCCGACCGTGGGCCGGGCGCATGCCGAAGGCGGCCGGACCCGGCGGGGGCTTTGACTCAGGTGGCGTGGACAGCGGAGGGACGAGAAAGATCTCCTGAATGGTTTTGTGTGGCGACACGACTTTGACCTGCGCACTGTGGCGCAGTTAGGTTTAGTTGTTTGCCAGCGATGACGTGCATTCGTCGGCGTTTGTGCCTAGACCTGTGGATAATGCGCGGGACGTTGACGGGGTCTGCTGTATGTGTGGCTTACGGTAAGACAGTGGTTTGGGTATGAGAAGAGAGGTCTCATGGCTCTGCAGCGTGCGTCGGCGCCACTGGTGCACCTACAGGCTGCGTGGTGAGCGAATCACAGCACCAACGGCACGGCGACAAATCCCCGCCACCCACTGCACGGACGTCCGCGGCCGCGCGTGCCGGAGGCGGGGGCCGTCGCGAGCGACGCCCGGCTGACCGGCGACGGCGGCGGCCCGTGGCCATTTGTGAGCGACGCTGTGGGGGCGGCATCAGTGGCCGATAGCCGTAGCTGATGCGCACCCGGCCTATCGCGAAGCCGATCCTGCAGCGCGAAGGTCGCGCATGAGCGCTCGCTGTTTGTCCGCTGGCCGGAGCGCCGCCGGGAAGCGTTTTTGCGCTCTACGTCGCATGCATTTTCGATCCGGGTGGCGCGCTTCTGCGGCAATTTGAGCGCGAGGCGAGCGCTGGTTGACGCGGAGGTGTTCGGCGATCGGGCCAAATGCGCGGACGGTGTACTGTCGCGCCTGGTGGCTGATGATGTGTTGTCGAACAGTCAGCAGGTGGTCCGTGTTGTCGCAGGCCGCCGGCTGGCGTTAACGTGATGTAAGGCCCGTCTGCGACAAGCCAGTAAATGCTACAGGTTTGTTTCGTTGTTACGTTTGCTCGTTTCTCTGGGCGCGCCCTGGCCGGTCACGCGTTACGCGGTATTCGGTTTCAGTGCGCAGCTAACGGGGATGTTGACAATGTCGCCGCTGCTTAGCATGCGCAGCGGGTTTGAATGACGGCCTTGTGTGCTCACTTTCTGCAAAGCCAGCCAACACAGGACGCTCGTTTTGACTCGGGAGCATGAATCGATGGTGATGTGGCGATATATCTTGACTTCTGAGTCATGCCCAGAATCCAAACAGATTCCGTTCAAATACCATTTCGCTGTATCTGATAGCGTCGTCCCATGGTCAGGCTTCGTTTTGAATTCGTGAGCTTATGCATGGTAAGGCCGATGCGGGCAGATAAGCGGGACCTACTTCACAACTTTTACCGGTCGTGGAATAATCGAGACGTTTAAGGTCGTTTGTGTGGAGATGTGGCCACTTGACTTATGTTTGGCCACATGCATCCTGGGTAGAAGTGATCAGAACGAATGCGTTCCATTTTACTCTTGGCATGTTCGAATTTCGTGCTGTGCTGTCTGGATTTGGCCTTGGAATCTATGCCAGCGTAGCCAGTGTGATCAGACCAATAGCCGCGACAGTACGGTCCCCGTGTTGCGTACACACTGCCGTTATGGCACGCCCAAAGAGCTTCAGGAACCCTCTGCCTGCTTTGCACGAAGATGTATCGCAGATCTGGACACCTGGCTCGAACATTAAACCTTAAATCCTCCAGCGGTGCCAGGCTGGATAACATCTACACCAGTCTTTTGTGCCCGTCTTAAATCACGCCTGCCTATGCGTTTAAAATCTGACGCCCCAGATATTTCGATGGCCACCGTGTACAAATTTGGCGGACGGAGGTGGAGGACACGACGTTTATCGCGCCGGTCCCCGCCCGCGCGTGGGATAGCTTCAGCCCTCAATCGATCCAGAGGCCGACCAATGGCTGAGGAGCAGCGTCTGCTGCGGTTCTTGGTGCCGCGAGGCCGGCGCAAAATCCTCGCGACTTGTGCGGTTTTGCGGCGTGTTTTCTGATTTGGTGTCGGTGTTGATTCGCCCTCAGCTGCTCTGAGAGCAGCGCCACCGCTGTCGGTGAAATCGTGCTGCGCGTGTTTTTGCGCGCCATTTCGGAGCGGTTCTTACGGTGGCGCGTTGATCACGGTGGCAGGGAGCGTGCAGCGGGAGCCGCGCGCGCCGGCGGCCTGCTGGCCGGCTGCGGTCCGGACGGCAGCCGCTGGCCGTGGACGCCGAAAGACGGCCGCATCGGTCAGCCGCAGACGCAGGTGCCCCGCAGATAATCGCACGGGCGCTGTGCGCCGCGATTGCCGCGACGCTAGAGGCCAGCTAGATTGGCTCTGTGCGGCCGGTGGCTATCAGCGTCGCCGGTGCGGATGGTGCGTCATTGTTGCGTGGTGTGCGGGTTAGTTAATTCGCTAGTCCGTGCGTCAGGTCGCGGCGGGGTTAGCGTGGATCTGCCGACCAATCCGTTGGGTGGGCGAAGGCTCTCACCGCCGTTTCGCCTCTCATCTCTGACTTATTTCGTAGCCAGCGACCCGCCAGCGTTTTGCTCCTCTGTTGGTGCTGTTGTCGGCTGCCTTTGCGGCTTAATGCTCAGTCGTTTGGTCGGACGGTCGCTGCCTCTGTTGGCACTGTCGGTGGCTGCTGCCACAGCCCGCTAATTGTCACCGGCTCGCTGCCGCCGCTCGTCCGATCCTCGCCACCCGACGCGGCTCGTGCTGCCGGCCGCCGCCTGGTGGCGCCTGTTTACGCGCCCGTCCGGCCGGCGGCGCGCGCCCCGCTCCAGTGCGGTGTGTGTGTGTGTTGACAGATGCCGTGTCGCCGCCGCGACTGCTAATATGACGCGCCGGTTATTTACGACCGTCGTCGCCGGACTGCGTGAAGAGGCGGCCTGTTGACGGGCTTGTTCCGGGCGTGTGCTGACGGCGTCAGATGGCGCTGGAGCGCCCCCGGCGGGCTCCGGCCCGAGTCGGCGTCGGCCGAGCCCCGCCGGGAGGTCTCGCCGTGGCGTCGGTGGTGTAGCGCCGACGTCGCGTAGACGGATGAGATACCGCTGTCGGCTCCCGACCGACTGGTGACGGCTGTTATACGGTCGGCTGTTATACGGTCGATCAGACGTTCGTAGGACACGCCGTGCTTTCTCGTGACCGTATTCCCCTTCAGTAGATCCACTCCGTTCGTTCAGTGGACTCGAGATCAGCACTGGAGTGTCGGCCTCGTCACTGGAAGGTCGCTCGTTTGGCAGCCGGCCACGAGTTGCGTATCAGTTTCCGCCACTGCGACCGGTGTAGCAGATAGGGCGTTAATGACCACGGCAGTTAGGTGTGCCGTAAAATCATCGAACTGGAGGCCGCCCGCACGCGCCATGGGTGGTCCCGTGCTCGTATCTCGTGTCGTCTCGAGGTGGGGCAAACGAGACAGGTGGTCCAGATGTCGCTGATCTGGCGTCGGCCCTGACTGACCTGGATCTCCAGCTCTGCGTGATCCAGGTGTGCCTCTGCCGAGCGGGAGCTGCTGGCGGGGCGGCAGGCGGGCCAGGCGATCCCAGAGGCGACCCGACGCCCTGATGGCGGCGGACTGTGCAGGTCCCCGTGTGCTATCTCTCGTCTCATCGCCATCATCACCTGCATCAGCACCGCCATCACCATCATCACTGCCACCGCCACCGCCACCGCCATCACCATCACCATCACCATCACCATCATCATCATCATCATCATCATCATCATCATCATCACCATCATTATCATCACGTATCGTCAGCCGATTGTCATGCTTGCGACTCGTTCGTCGTAACGTATCTGACTTGCTCTGTGTTCGGCGGAGCTAACTGGAGCCGGCGCCTCTCCGCAGGTGATCCAGATGTTCCGCGGCTGCAAGCCAGAGGACATGCCGCCTCACATCTACTGCACGGCGCAGACGGCATACCGGGCGCTGCTGGGCCAGCGCCAGGACCAGAGCCTGGTGCTGCTGGGCCGCAGCGGCAGCGGCAAGACCACCAACGCCCGCCACCTGCTCCACTACCTGGTCACAGCCGCCACGGCCGCCGCCGCGCCGGCGCAACGGCCGCTCACCGGTACGGCGCTGAGGGCCGGCTCTGGGCGGGGGAGGGGGCGGCGCCGAGAGACGACTCTAGGGGGGAGGCACGCCTCTGTGCCCTGCGCTCCCCGTGTGTACGTGTGGGTGGGAGGAGGATATTTGTTTGCAGTTCTGTATGTGCCGTTTGTCTTCAGCCCTGTAAGTCGTTCGACGTCAGTATTTGCCAGCACGCATTTGCGGGTGGTGAAATCGGGAGGATGGGAGGGTGGCCGTGTCAGTACACGTGAGGGATGCAAAGTGTCCGGTCCGGGCGAGTGACGAGCGTTGCCGGCCGAACGTCTACCTCTCGACGTCGCGCGCCTCGTGCCGGACGTCTGGCGCACCTCTTCGTGTGAGGACGGAGCCGCGCCCGGTCCGTGACGGCAGCCGCCTGGCAGACAGGCCTGTGTGCCGGGCAGCGCGGCCCCGGCGGCGCCGGCCCGTGATGTACGACCGGCGAGGTGTCTCACCTGGTCCTCGCAGTCCGCGCGGTTGACGATGGCGGCGTGGCTGGCCTATTACCGGCTCCGTGGGGAGGCTGCTGGTCTGGGCCGACTGGCCACGGACGTTAGTCTGCCATGCCAAGAGGATCAGCCATTTGTTCGCCTCTTCTGGCGCAGCGTGCTTTGGATATGCCATTGGGAAGTCGCCAATTCGGGTGCACATATATTTGGGCATCGGTCGCTTCAGGTTCCCGCTAAGTCTGAGTTGTTGGTCAACCGGGACCATACGAGCCGCGCAAGTACTGAATTTATGACCCAGCAGCTAAGGACCCACGACCCCGGCTTTCATTGTGAGCGTGATGGAGTCGCTAGCTCGGCACGGCTCTGTCACGGTGCTTCTGAAGTGTGAGCGTGATGGTGTCGCTAGCTCGGCACGGCTCTGTCACGGTGCTTCTGCCGCCGACAGTGGAGAAGCTGCACGCCGCCTGGACGCTGCTGGAGGCGTTCGGCAACTGCAGGACGGTGATGAACACCAACGCCACCCGCTTCACGTCCGTCTTCAGCCTGGACTTTGACCAGTCCGGTCAGGTGGCGTCGGGCTCCGTTCAGGTGTGTGTGTGTGTGTGTGTGTATGCCGGTTAACGCCGGATAGCACAGACCTCAACGACCCAGCTGTCGCCGGCGGCTGCGGACGACACGTGCCGTACATGACGCTAGGTCCGTTGCGGGCGCTGGCCGTTGCGCACCGATGCGAGCGCGGCTGAGTGAACCCGCCTTGTGGCCTAGGGTGACCCGGTGTCCCCCCGACGGTGTTCAGGCTGCGCCGTGGCAGCGACTTGGCCCGACTCGTGACCGCGTACCTGGTCCGCCTGCTATGACCCAGTATTGACCCTTGGACCTATGTGCTCCTGTGATGCTAAATATTCCTGGAACTCTATGGCGCTGAGACTGTATGACCCTGTGATCCTTTATGGCCCAGGTGACCCCATTTGACCCTGTGATCCTGTATGACCCTGTGACCCTATATAGCCACATGACCTACGTGACCCTGTCACTATATGCCCCTTTGGCCTTAAATGTCGCTGTAGCCCTATATAACGCTATGTGACCCTGTGACCTGACCCCGTACGTCGGTGCTCGTCAGGTGCTGATGCTGGAGCGAGGCCGCGTGGTGCGCCGGCCAGAGGGCGAGCCCAACTTCCACGTGTTCTACCAACTGCTGGCCGGCGCCGACCCGGCGCTGCGGCAGCGGCTCCAGCTGGACGACGGCGCCGACACCAATGGCTTCATGACGCCCCTGCAGAAGGTGCGGCGTCCGGTTGTGTTGTGAGCGGTGACACGCGCCCAGGGGGCAGGTCACGGTCGGAGAAATAGCGTCGGGGCACCTCTGCAGATAGTACACTGTTTCACATCGGGCCAGCTCCCCTCCCCCCCCCCCCCATCCCTCGCCAGCCCGGGTCACAGTTGCGCATAGAGGGATAACATTCTTTCAGAGGTATCTCATTTTCATGGTGATATCCGTGTCACTTCTCCAGAGGTGTAGGTGAAACATCGCCTGCTGTCTGGCCGGACTGGAAAGGATGAGTCTTTTCCGCATCCGCTGAACAAAAAGCTAAACCGTGTCCGATCGATGTCGGGTGTGTGAATGCGATGTGGTAACAGTAATATTACTGAAAGCCATGCCAGGCCGCTCAGGATGTTTTAAAGGTGATTGAGCTTCGATCTCGGGCCCGCACCACTTTCACGCTTGTCAGAGTGTGTTCTGGTCCAGTGATCACCCGCGGTGGAATGCCTGGGATATCCTCCAAGCGACATGGCGGAACAGCTCGCCGCCCTTCCCGGCTTTGTCTGTCGGTACCCGCGCGTGATGTCGCGCCGCGAGAGGGGAGCCGGGAAGCCGCCGTTGAGTCTCCGTACTCTGCCGGTGCCCGCGGAGTGGATCACGGCTCCGAGCGGCCCAGCAGACACCTGCCTCGGTCGTCGGCCGCGCCTCGCCCCGCCGCGGCGCCGGCCGGATGTTGACGCTGCCGTCGGAGTCGGCACAGGTGCGCCCGGCCCGGCCCGGCGCGGCGCGGCTGCGCTGGAAATACACAGAGCGTCGCCGGGGGCTGATGACCGGACCGCGGCCGGCCGCTCGGCAGTCCGGAGGTGTCCGCCCGACCGGCGGCGGCACACGCGAATCAGTCCCATGTTAGCCGTGGCCAAGGTCGCGCGCAGGGCCGTGTCCCCCCGCCACGGGCCTCGCTGTGGTATGCTCATTGTGTGGCGGTCCGAGCCGGTCCGTGTGTTTTGAGGCGATAGCCGTAAACGATCGCTGAGCGGGAACCGGTGCGCGATAAGGCGCGGTCGACGGCCGAGTCGCGGCTGAGGGCGTCATCACGGAGATTGCAGACGTCAGATGTGTGGTGGTACGAGACGCGCCGCCGCGATCCCGCCGCCGACCGGCATGGAAGGCCCTAAACCTGGAGAGAAAGTCGGCTTGAGCTCCAGATAAGGTCGCGACGTAGTCATGGGCGCATACCTCGAGTGGCTTACTTTACGGTTTATCGGGCGGCGCTCGTCGCCGGCAGCGCCGCGTTTGGCGTCGGCGCGCCGTCGCGGCCTGCCGACGGCACGCCGGCCGCGCCCCGGCCGCGCCCCGCCCCGGCCGACGCGCGCCGCCGGAAGCGGCGACCGCGTCAGCGGGGCGTCGCGCCGGTGCGCGCGTGCGGCGAGAGGCGCCGGTCGGCGCGGCGGCGCTTCGGGAGGGCGGCGCGCCGTGCGGGCGCGGCGCTGAGTCGCGGTAAGCCGCCGCTTCGGGTCGGATCGGGCGACTTAGCAGGCCGGCGCGGCGGCGCGCAGACGGGCCGCCGCGACGTGATCGTTTAATTAGCGAGCCAGGGGAGCGGTAGCCGCCGCCGTGCTGTCGTGTCGCGTGGTTGACCGCGGACGGCGCAGCGGATTTGTAAGGCGATGCTGGTGGGTTGGGAGTTCAAAGGCAGCCGACTGGCTCGTCCAGATGTGTGTTGAAAGGCCGCTGGGGAGTGGCGGCTTTGCTTTAGCTGTCGGTGGTACGCGACTGTTACGCGGCGCAGTGGGAGGATCTGTTGACGAGCTCCTCGAACGGTACCCAACTGCTGGTAGTCCGATTTGGAATGTGTGTACAACTTGTGGAATGGGTTTGCAATGTTCATTTTCCGATGATGCGGAAACGCATTGCATAAATGCCCCTTTGTTATGTCTGTTTGTGTTGTTAGTGTGGGGTTTAAACCACTCCAACGCTGCAGTCGTGCAGGGCCGTCCCGTGCAATGAAGCGTACCATATGATCTATCTCGTTGTGAATGAAGGTGCTTTTTATGCTTTTTTACTCCATCTGAGGGCTCACATTGTGCTACGCCGTATGCTAACAGACCTACATTGAGCCACCACCTCGAATTCTCGCTCAGTCGCGCGTTTTGACATCACGTGCTTGTCTCATCACCGTCACCACGCCCTTGCTACCCCTGGCCGCCGTCGGGCACCGGCGTCGCCACCGGCCCCCGCTGACCGCCGCGCCGCGCCGCCCGTGCCGGCAGCCGGAGGACAAGCAGCGCGCCACGGTGGCCTGGTCCCGCCTGCTGCAGGCGGCCGGCACGCTGGCCGTCCAGCCGGCGGAGGCCGACGCCCTCTGGGCTGTGCTGGCCGCCATCTTCCACCTGGGCGCCGCCGGCGTCAGCAAAGGTGCGCTCTGCCGCGCTGTGGCGGGCCGGGGTCAAGCGCTGGCTGGCGGGCCGACGATGGACGCTGGGGTGAAGCTTTGACTGGTGGGGCAGGCGAGCGCTGGGTAAAGTGCTGGCTGGTGGGCAGGCGAGCGCTGGGTGAAGCTTTGACTGGTGGGGCAGGCGAGCGCTGGATTGCCAGTGGTATTCTGTGAACTGATGCAATGGGTGTCATGTGATCAGCGTCTTTAGGACAGAGGGCCGTTAGTTGGACAGCGGGCCGTTAGGAACTTGGTGTAAGCCGATCACGGTGGTGAAGAGCTTTCATCATTGCAGAGTCAAAGGCTTTTTGTGGGTGGGGTGCAGTGATGACCGTTTCGACAGTGACCAGAATGGCCCCAGTACTGCTAGCAAAACGCCGTTGTGGTTTGTTTTGCGTACGGCAGACCACCATATTTTATTATAAATAGTTTGGTAAAACAGTTTGACGGTCAGAAGAGACAGTGAATCAGTATTATCTCCCATATACTGGTTTTGCTAGGTCGCTTCTGACAAGTCACGATTAATCCAAGCGACGTCGTTGTATAATGACGTCCCGTGGCCCAGCAAGCCGCCTGTATCAACGCGCCCACCTGGTCTCCCGCGCACTCCACACCCCGCCTCGGTCTCACCTGCGCCGGCGATGTCGCCAGGGCCGTCCGACAAGTACCAGTTCGCCGAGCCGGGCGCGGCGCGGCGCGCCGCCGCGCTGCTCGGCGTGCGCTTGGAGGAGCTGGCGCGCGCCATCTTTGCCTCGCAGTCGTCGGGCGCGGCCACGCTGGCGCGCTCGGCCTACCGCACGCCGCCGCGCGCCCAGGACGCCGAGCGCACGGTCGAGGGGCGCGAGGCGCTCGAGGCGTTCGTGGCCGGCCTCTACGGCGACCTGGTGTCCGTGCTGGTGTCGCTGATCAATAGGTGAGGGGGAGGGGAGGTCGCGGCGCGAGGTTTTGTGGATCCGTGTCACGGCCTGCCCGGGTAAAAACGGGTGTGTGGCGGCGCTCGTGCACTGCACTTGTCATTGGCGGCTTTCATCGCGGGTGGGATCGCGGTTGTGAAATCTTTTGACTTCATTTTCTTGTCGCTGGCCCGGCGTCTTTGGCCGCAAGGTGCTGGTCATGGCGTTTGTACTCCTATGCTTCGTTGGCCCTCGCTCGTCTCGCTGAAGTTTGGTTCGGCTGCGAGTGGCTTGGACAGAAACGTTGCATTGGATTTGGACCAAGTTTTTGGAAGCGTCATGTGGGTGATTTACTGTGTTGCTCGTCTTTCAGGTCCATTTCCAGTCCTGCCCACACGATCAACTCCATCGTGGTGGTGGACACGCCCGGCTTCCAGAACCCGAGCTCGTGCGGCCGCCAGGGCGGCGCCACTTTCGACGAGTTCTGCTATAACTACGCGCAGGAGCGGCTGCAGCTGCTGTTCCACGAGCAGACCTTCATCAACGAGCGGGACAGATACGCCCAGGTGGGTGGTGCTGGTGGCGACGTCTTACGACGCCATTGGCTCGGGTTTTACCAGACGTGCTTCTGTTAGTCTGAGATGTCTTGCTCGAGTTTTACCAGGCGTGCTTTTGTTAGTTTGAGATGTCACACCAAGAGTGTTGTGTTGCCGTGCCCCTCCGTTATAACTCCGATTAGTCGTTCAAATGTTGTGCGTTAAAGTTGTCGAAGGTGCGGATGCCGTTGCACTTGCATGCTTAACAAGAACGCGTTCCTCTATTCCTTGGTTTCTGGCGAGCGTGTTCTCAAGTCAATTTCTTATCTTGACCGCACGCCGTCTGCCTGAGACCCTCGCACATCCCATCGGTCCGCCCCATCGCCCGACGCCCGCTGCCGTCGGCCGGCAGGAGAACATCGCGTTGAACATGTCGGAGCTGGAGGGCGACGTGTCGGCGCCGGCGCCGCTGGTGGCGACGCTGGACCGCGCGCCGGCGGCGCGGCTGGTGCGCAGCTCGCAGACGGAGCTGCGCGGCGCCGAGCGCAGCGGCCTGCTCTGGCTGCTGGACGAGGAGGCGCTGCAGCCGGCGCCCTCCGACGCCGCCTTCCTCGAGAAAACGCTCGCCATGTACGACTCGCGAGGTATGTGCGCTGGGAGCGTGTCGGGTGCGGGGTGCCGGGAGACGGCCGGGGGAGCCGAGACGGACGACTGGCCGGTGCCGCTGCAGGACGGGTGGGGAGGCCGCGGTGGCCTCGGCCGGGTGACCTGAGACGGAACGACTGGCCGGGGCCGCTGCAGGACGGGTGGGGTGGCTGCGGCGGCCTCGGCCGGGGGAGCCGAGACGGACGACTGGCCGGTGCCGCTGCAGGACGGGTGGGGAGGCCGCGGTGGCCTCGGCCGGGTGATCCGAGACGGACGACTGGCCGGGGCCGCTGCAGGACGGGTGGGGTGGCTGCGGCGGCCTCGGCCGGGGGAGCCGAGACGGACGACTGGCCGGGGCCGCTGCAGGACGGGTGGGGAGGCCCGCGGTGGCCTCGGCCGGGTGATCCGAGACGGACGACTGGCCGGGGCCGCTGCAGGGCGGGTGGGGTGGCCGCGGCGGTCTCGGCCGGGTGATCTGAGACGGACGACTGGCCGGGGCCGCTGCAGGACGGGTGGGGTGGCTGCGGCGGCCTCGGCCGGGGGAGCCGAGACGGACGACTGGCCGGGGCCGCTGCAGGACGGGTGGGGTGGCTGCGGCGGTCTCGGCCGGGTGAGCCGAGACGGACGACTGGCCGGTGCCGCTGCAGGGCGGGTAGGGTGGCCGCGGCGGCCTCGGGCGAGTGAGCCGAGACGGACGACTGGCCGGGGCCTCTGCAGGGCGGGTGGGGTGGCCGCGGCGACCTCGGCCCGCTCCTCCGCACGGGACGTTCGCCGGGCGGGGCGCCGGCGGAAGACAGCGTTGGGATGCAGAGGTGCCGGGAGGACGGCGCCGGATGTCTCTTGTATCGAGTGGAGCGATCTGCACCCGCGCTAGTGGCGCTCCAGGCGTTGAAATATGCAATGCCTGCCCGATACATGCCTGATGATGTGGGTCGAGACCGTGGCATCATTTTCGCGCTCCTGAGGCTGTTACGGCCACCAGAAATGATGTCACACCATATGCACAAGTGGGTTCCGTCGTGTTGTGTGTGCTCTTTGCGGACGGGTGGCGCCGTGCGGTGTCACGTGTCGACACTAAGCAATCCCCAGTCGCCCATGAACGTCTCCTGTCGGCGCTTCCGAGTCGTGACATCGCGCTCCGTCGTTCCAGCCGACCAGCAGGTGCTGGTTAAGGGCCCGGCGGCCGGCCACGTCACCCTGCAGCACTTCCAGGGCACTAACCCGGTGACCTACGATGTCAGCGGCTGGGTCAGGGCCGCCAGGGAGCCGCCTGCCGGACGCAACGCGGCCACGCTGCTCCAGGAGTCCAACAAGTGAGTGGTGGGGTTGGACGGCGGCGCTGGTGAAGGACCGTGGGCACGTTTAGGTGCTCAGTCTGTCCTAGCTTCAGGCGGGCCCGGTCGTGGGAGCAGTGGCGTGGGCAAGATTTCTCCCAGGAGCGGCGCGAATCCATGATAGGAGACCCTTTCAATCAAATGGGTCCCACCGAGTCATTATAACAATCAGGTTTTGGATTTGATCGGGCTTTAGGGCTCAGGGTCCCATTTTAAAGCATCGAGACCCGTTTTTATGCTTTTGGAAGTGTGACCTTCATGGCCCGACAACCTTCAGGGGGAGAGGCATGGCCCCAAGGGCCCTTCCCTACTCTTTTCCCCCCCCCCCCCCCCCGCCCCTTTCCCCGCTGACCACGCTACTGGTGGGAGGTGTGGCATCACGTGGGTAGCGGGTAGAAGAAGGATCGGGATGTGGCTACATTGGTAGCGCTGTCTATGACGCAGCGATATGCAAAGTGCCGCCAGTAGATGCTCTCACGTGCTAGAGCAGGCAGAAAATTGCGACGGCAAACACGCTCCGATAAAGGGAGCTAGTCTAACTGCGTTTGAAATTTTAAAAAACCTACGTATGCCTCAGCATTTGTCAAGCATGTCTATCCGTAGTGGAGGTCAAGGCGTTCCTCACGGTTTGACCGGAAAAGTACGACGGTAAAGAACGAATCTGGTCTTTCCCGCTGAGTGGCTGGTGCAGCATGTTGAGATTGCCCCGTGGCACATGGTGTAGCTGTGTTCGCCTTCGTTTCATCATGCAATCAGACTTTTCAAGGAAGATTAAAACAAGGACTACATTCAAGTGTAGGTACTAAGACTAAAGCTGAGGATAACTGTTGTTCGGTATGTCCTACAGAACATTCTGCGACTGGGGCTGGATGCCAAAGCGACCCAGATTTGAGGGGCGAATGAGTACGTGGTCGGTCATACGTAAATATTCATGCGGTTTATCTTCTTAGGAAAAAGTGACCCTGAAGAAAAAATAACACCGTTGTGTTCGGCGCGTCAACAACTATCACACAGACCCTTCAATCGGACGTCAAGCCCTGTGATTGTCCGGTTTGGACTGGTCGACACTGGACGCCTGTCGCCATGTGGAGGCATCGGAGGATGGGGAGGGGGAGTGTAGCCACTGGCACCGATCTCACGGGTGGCATACGTGTCACGAGATTAATTTCTTGGCCCCCACGTGTGATTTTCAGTGGCAATCCATTTAAGGCAAGCATACCTGCAATGCTATCGTACAGTTCCGCCTTTGGGCGAAGAGGAAAGCGTGAAACCGGCTGGCCATTGTTTTCGTGCACCCGCGTTGGATAGTAGCTCACGGCATTGAAGTACTGGAGAGGGACCAACGATAGATTCACGGTCCTTTGTTTAGGAGAAAAATATCGGTGGGGCAGGAAGTGCTAAGTATCCCCTCTGCTTGTGGCGGGGAATAGCGCATTGTGTTTCTTCGGGTGGCGTGGACACGGTAACTATGCAATCTGGGACAGCAGAAGACAAAAAAGCCGGCCGTTGCAGGCTGCTGGTGTTAATACGTCCTCCCCCCCCTCCCCCCCCCCCCCCGACCCTGCCGCTCTAATGGGTCTCTGTCCACGGAGACGGTGAGCCGCCTGTTCGTGTCCGTCTCCCCCCCTTCCGCGTGTCTCCGTGACTGACTGGTCCCCCTCCCCGGCCGCCAGGGAGACAGTGAGCTGCCTGTTCATGCCTGTCCCCCCCCCCCCCTTCCGCGTGTCCCCGTGACTGACTGGGCCCCCTCCCCGGCCGCCAGGGAGACGGTGAGCCGCCTGTTCGTGTCGGCCCGCGGCGCCGGCGTCGGCCCGTCGGTCGGCGGCGGCTCGGTGGTCGGCATCGACGGCTCGCTCTCGCTGCGGCGCGCCTCCAGCATCCGGCGCACCTTCACCACCGGCCCCGCCGGCATCAAGCGCAACAGCCGCGCCCTGCTCGTCAAGTTCCAGCTGGTCAGTGCGGCGTGCAGAGGGCGCCACCGCGCCGGCCCGGCAGAGGGCGCCGAGTGGCGAGGGCTCGGATTCTGTCTTCACTGTACGGGCGCGTACTGGTTCACGGCCATATGTGACAACGGGCTTGGGTGTCACTGATCTAGGTTTATTACTCGGCTAGTTATGAGATGTTCGTCAGTTTAGGCGGTGCCGTAAGTGACTGTTGTGTTGTGGGGAACTGGTAATGCTGGTACAGGTGAATTTAGATGAAGATTTAAGCATAGTCACCCGGCTGACGTATGCCGTTAATGGGCCTTGCCGTTTGAGATGCCGTGTGTAACACTTCCCCATCACCTCGCCCGGGGCTGCTGATGGCGCCCGCTCGTCGCCGTCGCGCCACGGTCCGCTGACCGTGTCCCCGCCAACAGGACGGCATTGTGGAGCAGCTGCGGCGCACGCGGCCGCGCTTCGTCCACTGCCTGCTGCCGCAACACGACGCCGGCCTGTGCGCCCTCCGGCCGGCCACCGCGCCCGCCAAGCCCGCCAAGCCCGGCAGCCCCGAGGAGGTCGTCATCAACGTGCCGCTGCTGCGGTCGCAGGTGAGCGTGGCGTGACGGGCGCGCCGGCGAGCGCGGTGGTCGCACCGGGCGGCCTGGCGTCCACGTCAGGCCGCTCCGGTACGTCCACGTACAGACGTCTGAGCGAGGTCGTGACCTGATGCAAGGCTGCTTGCTCAGCAGCGTGCGGCCTTGCTTGGTGCGTGACAGCCGCGCGAGCGGTGTAATTACTGTCCGGCAAAAAGCGACACGTCGGTATAGGATCTTAAGGGCGAGCGTTGTGCAGCGACTCTTCTGACGTTTCTTGACACCATCCCACGGACTAGGGCACAGGGACAACCCAACGCGGCCTGTGCTGTCACCAGCTGCTCTGATCGCCGCCCCCCCCCCCCCCTCCCCCCAACTCTCACCGCTCACCCCTGCCGTCCTGTGACCGCTCCCCCTCCCCCCCCCCTCTCGACGGGACTGTCCCTTGACCTCTGTTGCGTTTGCAGCTGCGCGGCGCCCAGCTGCTGGACGCGCTGCGGCTGCACAAGCAGGGCTACCCGGAGCACATGCCGTTCGCCGAGTTCGGACGGCGGTTCGCGCTGCTGGCGCCGGACGCGGCCGGCGAGCAGGACGAGGCCGGCGACGAGCGCGCCGCCGCCGACCAGCTGATGCTGCAGCTGGACGTGGACACCACCGCCTACCGGCTCGGCCTCAGTCAGGTCAGTCGCGGTGGTACGTCAGGTCAGCCTCAGGTCAGGTCAGTAACTGGCAGGTCAGGTCAGCCTCAGGTCAGTCATGGTGGCAGGTCAGGTCAGCCTCAGGTCAGTCATGGTGGCAGGCCAGGCCAGCCTGAGTCAGGTCAGTGACTGCTAAGGAGTGCCCCCTCCCCCCCCCCCCTGCGCATTGGGTTTTGGTTAGGCCATTGCGCGTGGCCGATCGTGGTGTTCACTGCCCAGTCAGCAGGAACATTTCGTTGGCTGGCCCCCACGCGAGCGAGCCACTGTAACGCTGCAGCAGTCCAGGTGCTGGCTCTCGCTGTCGGCGCGAAGAGCGGGTCCCGCGGCGCTGGCCAATGCGTTCCATAACGTCGTGACCAGTCCCGTCACAGCACCCCGTTAGACCCCCGGCCTTCCCCCGTGTGACACCGATGGAGCGTCCAGGCGGCTCCCTCGCTAGGCCCTGGTATTGGTCGGCTACATCGCGCCCCCTCGCGTTGACGGGTGCCGCGCTGGGCGCCGTGAGAGGCGATAGTGATCCGAACAAGAGGCTGCGCCGCCTGCTGGGGCTTAAGCCGTGTCGGTTCTGGCCGAAGGGGGGCTTGATGCGGTGACTCAGTGTCAGCTCATTGCCATCGCTGTCATCGTAAAGCCGTCGTGCGCGGGCATCACGGTCGCCGCCGGGAGTTGGTGGAGGAGGACGCTGTTCTCCCTGTATCGTGACAGGCGGCGTTTAGACAAGCGTGATGCAGTTGGCATCTCACCAGCGTGGCTTCACTGTGCTCAGTCACACACTCGTCGGGAAAGTGACGCCGGCTCGTCACGCGCGCGCGTCACGGCCGGCGTGATCTGCGGCCGTTTCTCCACACGAGCCGACCGTCTCTGCGGCCGGCACGCGCGTCGCGGTCGGTGTCCATGTCCCGTCTTGTGCGGCCGGTCTGACGTGACGTCACAGAGTCAGCTGGCGCCGACGGACAGATGGCGGCCGAGCGGGCGGCCCGGGCTGCCGCTGTCGCAGGACCGGGCGGCGCGCCCCGTTAGTGCGGCATCGGCGGCCCATTACGGCGTGATAAAGCTGTCGCCCGCCGCCGCCGCCGCCGCCGCCGCCGCCGCCGCCGCCGAGAGTGGCTGTCATGGCCGGGATAAGGCCGGGCAGACGGCGGCGGGTCTGGTGCGGCCGTGCGGATGAGAACGGCTCGAGCTGCTGACAGCTGCAGACCACAGGCTTCTGCGAGGGCGGTGCAGGCAGTGCAGGGTGCTGCAAAGAGCGGGGACCGGCGCTTATTGCGTCCTGCACTGGTTAGAGCACGGGCACCAGTTGGCGCGCCTTTGAAACTCAATAACTAACTAAGAGCACTGGCAGTGGAATCTTGTGCTCAATCGGCTCGAAGATTGCAGACTGAATCTCAGTAGTGAATAGCGTGGCTTGGCCATCACAGCAGCTGAGTACGTCAGTTCAACTGGGCTTTTTAAAACATTGCTTGGTTTCCAGGGCAAAGGTTAATCATCACACACTTATGCTGCAGCCGCAGTCCAACGTCAGCCCGTATCTAATGGCCGTGTTATTGTCTCAAGCCTTCAAAATGGGTCCATCAGCTGGCTATGAGACTATTGCCCGCAGGTACGAGAACTCCGTGGCTCGCGGGGCCATCCGTCTGCCGGCGGCCTGCGTGTTATTACTGGGACGTAATGGCCGTGTACCGGGCGCCGATCGGGGGCCGCGGGCGGTGCTCGCTGCCGATCAGTCGCCGCTGCTGGCGCCAGCAGTGGATGGATGCCCGCGCGCCGTGTGGTCTGATACTGATGGATGCTCCCGGAGCCGGTCGGTTGCGCCCGGTGGGCCGGCCGGCGCCGCCCTCGCCTGAGACCATCGTGCTCAGTGAGCGGCCGCTGCGGCGCGGAGATGTAGCCATCGCAGGTCATCCATTTCCTCCCGCCCCTGCGAGAAGACGCGCCGTTTGGCCTGTGTCGGGGCCTCGCGTCGGCGGCCGCCGCCGCACTCGGTCACGGTCGGCGCGGGCTCCCTCTGCGGCACGACGTCCTGCTGCGGGTCGGCGGCTGGTCTTCCGGTGCAGGGCGATGCGATCGTGCCGCCGCGACGGACTCGGGCTCCCGGCGACCCTTGTTACCGAGCAGCGGCCAGTGGCGGACTCTGTGTAGCTGGCGTAGGGCCGACCACGGTAGGCTAGCGGCCTGACGCCGGGCGTGGAGGAGTGCGTTCGACGGAAGATGCAGGCCGTCATAATGGCGCGCCATAAATCATGCGGCGCGGGAGAAGCGCGTGTGAAGCCTTCGCGAGGCTGCCGTTTCACGCGTGGACGAGCAGCGGCGGAAGTGGCGCGCGTCTGGCCGCGTCACGGCCGCCGCCGTTTACGACCTATTCATCCCGGAGCCTCGAGTGGTGGCACCAGCGCACGGCCGGCGTTGGGGCCAGCGCCGCGCCGTCCGGTGCGTCAGAGCCGCCGTCCGACGCGCCGCCGGTCGGCTCGGCTTCCCCCCGGCCTGCGGTCGCCGTGTGTGCGGCGCCGGTCCGTCCGGCCGACGCCGGGGTGGCGCCGGCGGTCGGAGGTGACGCTGGCGGTGTCTGGACAGGGCGCAGGTCGGACGAGAGGGCAGCTATTTCGCCCCGGTGGCGTAGCAGCGCTGCCGGATGGGGACGACGGATGCGCTCCGCCGCAGCTTCGGCTCGTTCACGGGCGGCACCGATGTGTCGCGTTGTGTCGCGCACGGATGTTTCGGTTCCGCGCGCTGATGTTTCCCGCCGAATCCTGATGACTCGGCGAGGATCGATGTCATCTGCGGCCACTGCCGCGACAGTCCCTAGAAGTCATCGGCACCAGAGCACACTCGGACCGCGATCGAATGGCCGTTCCTCGCGGAACGACGCTGTCTGCAGTGTTTGTCTGAGACGGCCCGGCAGCGCGTCGCTCTGGCCTGCCTGCACCGGCCGGCTGTCTGACGATAGGCGCCCAGAGTGGACCTCCCGGTGGTGTGCGTGCATCGTTGGACGGTGGTCGGAGCCGGCCGCGCGCGCGCTGCCGAGCCGACGGCCCGCGACGGAGCCGGTGGAGCGCGACCGATGCCGTCATCTCACGCTCTTTTACAAGCGGCGAGCGCGCCGCCGCGTGACGCGCCGTCGGGTGAGGTCTGTATGCACCGCGAGCGGAGGACAGACTGTGGACGCTGGTGAGCGTGACACGGTGATGTTGCGCGCTAGTCTAGTGACACCCGTGAACTGTTTATCAGACTGTCCGATGCGGCGGGGTCAGGTCGTATCGGTGGCCTCCGTCTGAACAGGGAGGGTCGTGCCTGGGAAGTGAGCCCGACGAGGCCAGTGTTCCCACGGCCTCCACCCTTTGCGCGTCATAAAGCCGTCCAAGTTCGAACGCCACGCGATCGGATAGGGCTGTTTCCGGTCGATAAAGCCGGCTGGCCCCGCCGCACGGGACTTCGGCGGCCGTGCGGAGAGCGACGCCTTGCCGCCACCGCGGGTCGAGGTCACCGTCTGCCGTCTGCCGTCTGCCGTCTGCCGTCTGTCGTCTGCCGCCGGTCGTCCGCAAAGCCCATGTCGTTTCTGTGCACACTTAACGTGGAAATGGATGTCCAACGGTGTTAGTTGTGGCGCGGACAGCTTGTGGCGGCGGCGCTGATTGGAGTGGTGTATGAAGGTACAAAGGCCCTCAGAGTTCCCCGAGGCAGGGATGAGACGGTCGAACGTGACCGGATGGCATGCGCCGAGTCACCTGGGAGGTGGCGGGAGTGGTGAGGAGACCGCTGGAATAGTGCAGAGACCGCTGAAGATGACTGGTGTAGTGCAGAGCCCTGCTGAAGATGGCTGTATGGTATGGGGAGGAGATAGTGTGGATAGTATGATGATGAAGATAGTATGGAGACCCGCTGATGATGGCGGCAGTGGTGTGGAGATCACCGGAGATGGTTGGAGTGCTGTAGAGACCGCTAGAGCTGGCGGGATTGGTGCGGAGGCCCTCTGGAGACCGGTGTGTGGGGCGGAGACCGGAGACGGAGAATGGGCAGCGTGGCGGCGGCGCCCGCCGACCCGTGCGTCTCCGTGTGAGTGGACGTGCCGGCTGGCGGATAATTCAGGCGGACAACGGTGCCTCCGCGCCGCCGGTGTTCCGCCTGGCTTGTCCGATTCTCCCCATCACTGCACCTGGCTTGTAGTGGAAATAATGGCTGCACGTCGGTCAGCCTCGACCTCTCGTTTGGCCCGAATAAATGTACGTCTCCTGAGTGACGGCGGCGTTTGGGGGCCGATTTCATGGCGGGTGACCCCTTGAAGGACCTTGTTCTGTGTGATCCGAATTGGCGATGAATCTTTCTGATTGCTCTTTGGACGGTTGTTTATGTGATCTACCGTTTGGGTTATCTCACCGGTTATGAACTCGGGAAGAATTGTCCGGTAGCTCCAGCAGGCGCCACGCTTATGACTATCGCGTGCGGCACTCAAACGCATTACTTAGCTGCGATACGCCTGTATCGCCTGGGCAGTTTTTCCGAGCTGGTTCTCAGCAGACCACCGGAGCACGGTGGCACCGGAGTGAGATCGTTCCGTTATCAGTGCACAGTGCGATACCCGGGCGGAGCGGCCGCCGGACACGGGTGCGCGTCACCCGACTGATCAGGCCGATATCGGCCGGAGCCGGAGCCGCTGCGGACCCGGTCCGGGGCCGCCCCCAGACCGGTGACCCGTCCGCGCTCGGCCGTGCCTCTCAGGCCGGAGCCGGGGTCGGACGGCGCAGCGCGCGCCCGTTACGGCGCGGGGGAGCGGGCGAGCGCGGCGGGCGGCGCCTCGTGCGGCGGCGGCGGGCGGCGGCGGCGACTCAGTCGCGGCCGGACAGTCGCGCCGGCAGCAGTCGCCGTCGGGTGCTGCGCTCTCGCTGCGGCGAGACGCGCCGCCAGTTCGCCATGGCCACCACCGACTGCTTACTCAAGAGCCCGCAGATGGTGAGCGCCATCCTGCGCAGCCAGCGCCGGCGGGCGTT